CTGACCCGATTTCAAATCACCTTAAAGTCAATTTAGACCACCTTATTAATATTGATCAAAGTATAGTTATATAGTTACGTTGTCACTTGAGTTAATTGTGTGCTTGTGCAAACGAGTTACTATGATAAGTTCAATAGTGAATAGTTCAAAACATACGACTCCTTACATAGACTAATTGTAGCTATTTGCTCATTTCTAATTATTAGAATATATTTAGCATATATACTTCCTCTGTTTTTTTTTGCTTGACCCGCTTTGACTTTTACACTATTCACCACCCATCTTTTGACCGTCTTTTGTGAATAATATGTAAGGAAAAACATATTCATATATGATCTTTTTAAATTCGTCTCAATAAGTACTATCATAATATATAACTTTTATAATTTTTACTTATGGAGGATAAAGTTATTGTTTGTTAAAGTTTTGCACTGGCAAGCGTGATAAAAGAAACTGGTCATGTAAAAACGAACGGAAGAAGTATATAATAATAAGAGAATATATGCTAAATATATTCTAAGCTACTCGTAAAGTCGTAATTTCGTAAGCCTAAAACTACTCTATCTTAATATTGATCAAAGCATTTTGTCTTGGATGCAGGGAGACCAAGTCGGTCCAGGCTAGCAAAAGAAAGAAGCATCATCCCCAAAATAAAGAGTTAGATATAGTATATATTTGTTGCTTGGTCAAAGGAGATAATTAACTTCCTAATTATGGGCTATAGTTCCCTAGTATGTTGCCAGATATATTGTTATATAGTCAAAGCCAAAGGAAATAATTAGCTTGATAAAAATGATAATTATTTATTTATAGTCAAAGGAACCCGAACATGACCCGACTTGAAAATGACCCGACCTGATTGTAACCCGTAAATTATTGACTTGAACCGAACCCGACTTGTATCCGAGAATGACCTGACCTGATTATAATCCGCAAATTATTGACTTGAACCGAACCCGACTCAAACCCGAGAATGACCCAAAATGATTATAACCCGCAAATTATTGACTTGAACCGAACCCGACTCGAACTTGAGAATGACCCTAACCTGTTTTAACCCGTGAAAATCCGAATTAAACCCGACCCATTATTCACCCAACGCGAATGTAACCCGACCTAAACCCGACCCAAACCTGACTCGCTTACTCGAATTGACAGCTCTACTCCCTCTGTCCCTTATTTATATGCCTACTTCTCATTTTACACAGGAATTAAGGAACTTAAAAGGCATGGTTGAGAAGTACAAATATGCATGTGGGGTTAGAGAGTGATAAAGAGAAAGAAAAGGTAGTTGGTAATTATTGTAGAGATAGAGAGGAAAAGTATTGGAAAATGATGTTAAAAATACAAAAAAAAAAAAAAAAAAAAGTTAATGACAACTTGTCAAAAAGAAGAAACATTATCAAAAACATATATTTTTAAAATAGAAAATAAACATGTAAATAAGGGATGGAGGGAGTATCAATTTTTGTGTAAACTCAAAATTTTCATAATTTTGCACTTATTATTGTTTTTATTATATACTAGTATGAAGCTAAAGTTATCTTTTAGAGAAATTTTTTTGGTAGGAAGTTAGAAATTTTTTTAATTTTTTTATTTGGGTGTAGAAAAGTTAGAATGATGCAAATAACATAAACCTTTTTTTTTTTCTTAAAAAATCTTGATCCAATTTTGTTATTTGTTTATTTATTTATATGTGAAAGAAACAAAATGCATCATAAGCAGTTAAGTACTGTTGACTTATAGTTTCATTCAAACTAAATAGGTCATTACTCCGTAATATTTTCCAACATAACACTGTTATTTTATACTTTTATATTCCTATCATTTTCAAAGGTTTGATTCACTTAAATTTAGAATATTTAGATTTATACAAACTTAGCGAGATCCTATTTGATATATTTTTTTTATAAAATATAAATGATAATGTATGATTGAAATTATCTTTTTTTTTTTTTTTTTTTTACCACGTAAATAGTACTATGATTTAAATCTTAGGAACTAAGATAGTATAGGGAAGAAAATAAGGTTGACGATATGAATTATTTATACTTCGTGTGTGTGTGTGTATATATATATATATATATATATATATATATATATATATATATATATATATATATATATATATATATATATATATATATATATATATATATATATATATATACTTCCTCTGTTTTGTATACTTGAGAAAGCCAATAAAAAACGTAGGGAAATTCTCTTTGGTAGTAGCACTGTAGTTGTTTTTAATTTTCTCACTGATAAATTGTAAAAATTCTTATTATTCATGGTAAACTCTAATTTGTTATACTAATTCAATGGTGACATTAATGTTGTATGCAATTATGAGTCTAACTCTAGTTAAATTTTTAAAACATGATTAGTTTTTAAAATTTTTAATTATTAAATTATTTTATAAATAAATTAAGAAAAAAAATCGAACCAACCCAGCCCAAACCCTACCGGCGGCAGCCCCCCTCCCTCTCCCCTGCCAGTGCTCGTCCCCTACTGTCCGACCATCCCCAAACCCTGCGTCGGCCTCCCAGAGGCAACCTCACTCCCTCCTTCCCACACCTCAACTCTCAAGTCTCAACCCCTCACCCCGATTCACATCATCCTCTTCCTTCACCAATTTCTCTGGAAAATTATCACCATTAGCATGAATTCAACTTCAAAATGGTGATATTCAAGCTCGCGAAACCTCTTGAAATAATTAAATCGGCCGAAAATTGAACGCGAAACCCTAATTTCTGCTTGGGCTTGAGTGAGAGCTATTGAATCGGAAGTAAATGAAAGTAAACGCGAAACCTCTTGTAGTAATTGAATCGGCCGGAAACGAAAGTAATTGGATCGTCGATAGGGCTTGGGCGAGACAGCGGTGATGCGTTGACACGTAGGTTGAGGCTTGGGACTGGTTGAGGTTCGTCGCTTCAGCGAGGTTTCAAGACTAAGGTGAGGAAAGGTGGCTAGGACGGGGGAGGAGTACGGGGCAGGATCGAAAAAAGACGCCGACGATTGAAGGTAAAGGTCGAGGGCGAGGAAGGTGGTTGCCTGATTGATGTTGCTGGCTGTTGTCGGTTGAGGGGGAAGGGGAGGCCGGCGCGCCGGCGTGGGTGGGGGCGGAGAGTGGTGGGTTGATGGCTGGTTGGTGGGGGAAGAGTGGCTTTTTTTGTTTAAAAAAAATTATTTCTTTTTTTGTAAAGTAAAAAAATAATAATAAAATAAATAAATAAACTAACTCTAGTTAAATATTTAACTACAATTTATCATTAATGTCATGGTTAGCTTAATATAAAAAATTCAGGTTTACCAAAGATAATAAATTTTTTCACAATTCACCACTGAAAAAATTAAAAACTACAGTGTTACCAAAGAGAATTTCTCAAAAAATTAAATGTATGGATTAACCGAATAAGTATAAAGTTTAAACGTTAATAACACTTTCTTCTTATCAATGATATAATTTCAATTAAATCATTCATTTACCTAATCTAATACAAGTATTTTTTTTTAATAGAAGAAAATAGTACTAACAAATATATATATATATATATATATATATATATATATATATATATATATATATATATATATATATATATATATATATATATATATATATATATATTAGAAAAATATATTAAAACAGAGGAAGTATGTATAATCTAATCTAATATATATAAATAAAGTAGGCATATTTGGAGAGCATTAGGAGCGCCATGTAAGAAATATACTTATTTCGACCAATAAGAAGAAAAATTTGTATTTTATTCTTGAATTAAAAAACTACGTCGCCACCTAGATAAAAGTAACGAATTAGATTTGATATATCTAAAATTTTAATGCTAGATTATAATCCACGAATTAAATTATTTTAATGAAAAAAATAAAGTAAAAATATAGGAAAAGATAAATTTATTTATTCAATACTACGAGTATAAGAAATCCAAAAAAAATATACTAAAAAATATTTAAATGATAAACTCTTATAATAAAGTTTGATACCTATCATTATAACATATATTTATTTGTAATTATTAGTTACATTGTATTTATTTAGGATACTTAACGATTATTTGTTTATGTAATGACATACGATCAGATGTTGTATACTTAATATATGGATGACTTTGGTTATTTTTGGAGATGATGAAAAAATTCCAATGCATAGATTTGATTTTATATCACAACAATTTTTCATTTATAGGTAAATATATTGATTTATTTTATATAAATGTAAAAATTTAACACAAATTCTCTAAAAAGACGGGTGCACGTTAATTTATTATAAAACGAGTTAAAGTTGTGTTAAAAGCACTTAAAGTTACCCTTTATACTACAAAAGTTATTATTTTTCTATTAATAAATTTTATCTTACAAAAAACTTGTAATGTATTAGATTAATCATATTAGTTTTTATAGTATTTAATCACGAATTTATAAGAAATTACAAATTAAAATAAAATTCAAACCAACGATAAATTAAAAGTTACCATAAAAATAGTTAAAGTTATGCTCAAACTGACCGTTTTACAATAAACTTAATGTACACTCGTTGTACACAAGAATTATTCAAGATTTAATTTATATCAATTTCAGTTTGGCTAACATTTCACGGTTCAATTTATCCATTGATGTAGTAGGTTGGTTGTGGACGAGGTTGGTGATTCTATCGAAATAAAAGATATGGTAAATTTAAATTATTAAAAATTTATCATTTCACATTCAAGATTATATATAACGAAAAAAAATATCATATTTACCATTTATTTATATTTAATAAATTCATTATAAATTATAGTAAAAAAAATAAATATTAAAATTTTAATTTTGTCTGAAATAAATACAATAAATCAAATAATTAAAAATCTTAGATGAAAAAACCGTACATCGCACGGGTTTCCATCTAGTTCATATATATAGAAGAAAAAATAACGTTGATGATTTCATTTATTTTTATATCTTTAAAATATAAATAAAAAAAAAACCAAAAGTGTTTTATTATTTGTATTTTCGAAAGGGGTAAAAAAAAAAAAGGCTTAAAAGAGAGATCCAAAAGTTACACACTGTATATAGCAAATCCTGATTGGTAGCATGGCTGAAACAACTTGGAGCCATTAAGCCAAGTGTTTGGCTTGACTACACCTAATTCTAAAACCCATTACATTTAATTTTATAAAATTAAAATTTAATTAAAAAACTCAATACTCTAGTTAAAAAAAAAACCCTTAAACTCAACCATAGTTAAAAAACCCCTTCAGCAGAAACATCAGGAGAAAGAAAAGAACAAGTCTCAAAGTCTGTTTTACACAATCTTTCTTTTCTCTCTCACTTCACTCTCCCATCCACCTTACCTTGTTTTGGTAAACAAACCACCCTTTTCTTCACCAAATTTCTCTTGCTAATTTATCACATTCAAACCCATACCATACATTACTCTATTTGTTTCACTTATTCTTTGTTGTTGCGAAACAGCGGAGGAGGAGGATGAAGACTAAGAGGTGTCATTCACAATCCCAGCCTCCGCCTCCGCTTCCGCGCCGTCGCTGTCGTGTTTCTTCTCCAATTACTAGTAATGCTGCTATTGCTGCTGACTCCTCTAATGGGTCGCCTTCGTCTCCGTCGTCTTCTTCGTCGTCGTCTTCGTCTTCCTGTATAGTTGATTATCATAATCATAATGATGGTGATAATGATAAAAATAAAAATGACCAAATTAAAATTGATGACGACGAGAAGCCGGCTAAGCCTAAACGAACTAGAAGAAAGAGAGCACCAATTAATCCTAAAACTGAGAAATGTACCAATCGTCGTAGCTCCATTTACAGAGGTGTTACAAGGTAATTTAATTTAATTTACAATGATTTTTTTTTAATTTCCACTTGTCAATTTTAATTTTTTTTTTGTTGATTTGTGAAAATTTAATAAGAAATTAGAGTTGATCAAATGCTGATTGAATTTAATTTGAATTTTATGTCTATTAATTAATTTGCATGTCTTGGCAATTCGGTTAGTTTTAATTTTTGTTTAATTTTTGGGTGAAATTTGCAGACATAGATGGACAGGAAGATTTGAAGCACATTTATGGGATAAAAGTTCTTGGAATAGCCTTCAAAACAAAAAAGGAAGACAAGGTAATTTCTGAAAATCTCTTTATTTAATTAAAAAAGATATTTAATTATTTATTTTTGTTAAAAAAAATTAAATGGTGAGTATTCTCATGGAGATCCGTAATCTCGGTTAATTAATATTTTGATTACTGTATGGTTGGTGATAATGATACTGTAATACTCCTACTTAATAATTAATTAATAAATTTAAATTTGTCCTATTATTATTGATTTATTTCATTATTTTTTTAATTTTTTAATTTTATTTATGGAGTATTCGTATAACGTTATTTGGAGTTTGTTCTGCCAACTTGCTGACTGCGTGCGTTTTCTTTGTCTTTCTGACTATCTCACTCAACGTTCATCTTCCGCTTCCTGTTCAAAGTTTATTTGGGTAAGTCCAATTCATTCGTTTTTTTTTTTTTTTTTTTTTTTTTTTTTTAAAAAATTTAATCTCATCCTCAAAAATGAGAGCAACAATTTCGTAAATAAATCAATAATAAATTCTAGTCAGCATGACTTTCGATGCATGGGTTAATAAGTTGTTGATTTATTTACAAAATTGCCCATCTCCGACATAAATTAGGATTTTCTAAAACAAATGCATCATAAATAGCCGACTCAAAGATTATATATTTGTCCGTCTCTAAAAATTATTCCTGTTTGAACGGTAATTGTGACAAAAAAAAGGTCAAAACACGAAGAACTTTAGAGACGGGGGATTAATGTCGTAACAATCTTGAAATTGTTTTGTTTTGGGGTGATTATTTAAATGCAGGAGCATATGATAGTGAAGTAGATGCAGCTAGGACATACGATCTAGCGGCACTTAAGTATTGGGGACCAGAGACGACATTAAATTTTCCAGTGAGTAACCTAAGTTTGTGAGCAATTATAAGTAAAACTATATTATAATTTTTATATCCCAAAGTCTTGTCAAAATGAAATGCAGCGGTGTTTTATTGCTAATCTAATTTTGCGACTTGCACCACTTTCTTTCCACTTGTTGTATGTTTGACACACACAGCTGGGTCATGCTTTCAATGTTAATTTTAATGTCGTGCTTTAATGTTGTTACAAAATTAAATAATAATAATAAAGAGGAATTTGACTTACAATATGGTATGGTATGTATTGATTTATGTAGATAGAAAATTATACGGAAGAGGTTGAGGTCATGCAAAATGCGTCCAAGGAAGAGTACTTGGCGTCATTGAGACGGAGAAGTAGTGGATTTTCGAGGGGTGTTTCGAAATATCGTGGCGTGGCTAGGTACATTTCAATGGATTTTATTGCCCTGCTTTGTTTTTTGAATCAAGTTAACAATAAATATCAGTAGTCCGAACTTTTGACCATTTTAATATATTTGTCGTCTTTTTTAGATTTTGGAGGATGTGTTCTTGTAATACTTGTAAGTCGTTAGAGGCTTAAATTTTTGGGAGATTTTTGTATTATTATGAGAATGTATCTCTGAAGGTAGAATTTATGTAAAAAGATGGTCAAAAGTTTGAATATTCATTGTTTTTTCTTTAATTTTATGGGTCATGTGACATCTATGATTCTTTGAATGTCTCATTAAAATTTATTTTTAATCAATTTATTTTTTTGTAGGCATCATCATAATGGGCGATGGGAGGCACGAATCGGGCGCGTTTATGGGAACAAATACCTCTACTTAGGCACTTTCAGTAATGTCCTGAACTCTATTTCTCTTGTGCTCGCTCTCGTTCTATGTGATTTAGGATCACGAGCACACACGCAGATACGTGGTCGGACAAAGTGATTATCATAATCACAGGGACAAAGATACTTAATATTTGGACTGACCCTTTTGGTTTGGTCACTTTCTGTGATCATCATGTATAGTATATGTTGTATGTATTCCTGTCCACTATAAACAATAAGATATAAAGGAAAGGGGGTGAGTACGGTACAGTAGATCTGCCATTAATTAAAAAATTGCCCTTACGGACTCACATGGTGTCACGTGAGTCAAATATTGTGAATACCTTTTAGGAATGGGTTGCTTGATCTGATTTTATGAAGAAAATTATTAGTATGATTAATTAATTAGGTAGGGTTTTGGTGAAAATTATGATCCACTAAGATTCCTACTCTTTGCTTAAATCCCGTCACACCTGACTATTACATATGCAGTTATGCACCCCCCACCTTTACCTATAAAGATATGTAATAAAGTCAAAATTGATCAGAAAAGAGTACAAAAAGGGGATTAAAGAAAGGAATCAATCTTATGAAAATAAATTTGAGATTTACTGGTATTTTCGGTAGGCCCTTAATTCTGTTTTTCTTTATATAGGGGATGATCTAGAGTTGTTGAGAAATTAGTTTTATGAGAGATTAAGATGAGCGCTGAAAATTTAAGGAAGAAAAGCTATGTAGTGAAGAAAAAAGAGAACTTTTTTATGGGAATAAGGGGTGTGTTTACTATATAGGGCCACTTCCATGCATGCTAGTGTTGTCCTACCATCTTCCCTTACTCAAAACTCTACTTGTGCACATGGGAACTTCATGTACAAATTAAAGCACTGTAGAGTATCTTGTGACTTTGTTTTGGTCAATACTATTACAACATTCGAAATCACTTAAAAACCATGCGTTATGCAATTGATCAATTTGCTGTGAATCTTGACCTCGTCTTTTTAACTGAGTAATATTCTTTTGAACTGAAAGAAAGGTCTCTTACCTGGGTAATTAGGGAGTTAAATAGCTCGTAATCTTATTTATACACAAGAGAATTGAAGGGCATCAAGGTAGGACAAGATTATCTCATATTTCCACCTATTTTTAGGGACTTTTGTTGCTTGTTTGGCCCCTCACCCATGTTTCATTTGAGTTGGCAAAACTCCTGCCTTAAATGTTAAGGTGTATTGTTAGTAGTTGGGGAATATCATGCTTAAAAAATATTAATAAATAAAAAAAATCTTTTCTTAATTTTGTCCCCACTTAAATGGTATGGACTTCATAATTCATATTGAACTATATGCTTGCTGATTTTATTTATTTATTTATTTATTTTTTCCAGAAATTTTTCTATAATATTTTGTATATTTTTATATTAATTTAAATATTAGTTTGTTTAATTTTTCCCCCTTTTCAGGAGGGCTAGGAAAAAATGTGTTATGGTCAACTAAATTAACCTAGTTGGATGTGTCACATGTGGTCTGCTTTCATGCACATCTTATCTTTGGAGTTCACCTTCTGACTAGATCTTGTCTTACCGGCCAACTATTAAATTGTTATGATGATTTGTGATTTATACATCCCTACCTGGTTTGATATTATCCTTTAGAAAAGCCTTGTTTCTTTTTAATTAAATGAGAAGTTGTATCCTAGTTTCTTCTTGCTTCTTTTTACTTTTATTGGGGCCCTAAGTTCTTGTATAAAATCAGATACCATAGACTGTCCGAGTGCCCGACATATCCATCACTTCGTTGTTTGTTAGTCTACTCGGTTAAAGTTTTCTAAAATGCCGTGACAGATTATATAGGCTCTATAGTATTTGAATGTATATTCCTGCTACCATTTTAGAGCTTTTGTTTGACATCATTCTTATCAGCTCTTGAAACAAAGCTTTAGAAGAAATAAGTTTCAATTACAGGCTATACAATCTCAGTTTACAACTAAAATAAGTATCGATAGGTTCCAATAAGTTGAGAAAGATAATTTCAGGCGAAAAGAACAAAGCCTAAGTCAATGACCTTTTAGCTGTGGCCATGTACTGAAATATAATTCTCTGTTTCAACAGTAATTTTAAACATGAGATTTTTATTTGATTTCTCTATGTAATGAAGACTTGCTTGTCGTGAATGCTTTGGCTCATCTCCATTTTGTAATGGAGCTTGCTTAACAATATTAGCAGAAGGGAAATTATATACTGTATATAAATTTGCACTCTTCTTAGTTGAGTATAGTTTGAATTTCACTATCCTCTATTAACACAAATTTGTATCATTTTTACTTTAGGTTCACAAGAAGAAGCTGCTGCAGCATATGATCTGGCTGCAATAGAGTATAGAGGCCCAAATGCGGTGACTAATTTTGATATTAGCAATTACATTGGTCGTGTGAAGAGTCTTATGCCAAAGGTTGAATCAGAGGAACCAAGTCCCAAACAAACAGAAGTTGCAGTGCCAAAATTTCAGCAACAACAAATAAAACGACAGAAAGAGGAAGAAGAGCTACAAGATGAAGCGCCACTAAAACAGCAAAATTTGGTTGATGCTGTACAGCGGGAACAAGATCAACAAATGGGTATTCCGTCTCAGCTTGAGGAGTCTAAACTAGTTAACTCCATTGATCACCACCCAGCTATGATAGGGATGGAGGGTGCTGAGGATGCAAGAGAAAACCCGTGGAGTTTTTGCTTGGATACAGGGGGTTACGACCCCCTCTTGGTTCCGGATATTCCCTTTGATGAAGATGGCGGGCTGCTTGATTTATTCAATCAGACCAATTTTGAAGAGAATATTGATATGATGTTTGAAGGAGAAGGAAATTTGATTAGTTTAGATGACACCTTCTTCGATGGCACAGACGTCATAGGTTGTCAAACTTCCGAGGAATTAGACAAGAAGATGGAGATTGTGCCAAAGGTAGAGGAGAATTCACTTTCGTTTTCATCGTCCTCTCCATCATCTCCGTCTTCGATTACTAGCTTAGACTCATGTCAGCTGTAACGCTCATACAGCGTTTATGCATTTTAAGAACTGTTTCTTCTTCTTTCCCCCTCTTTTCAAATTTTAGTTTAGTTTCTCGTTTTCAGGCTCTTGTTTTAGCTTTGTGTTTGTTTTAATTTGTCTGGCTTTAGTTTTTCTTTTCTTTTTTATAAAAAAAAAAGGTTAGTTGTTGAATTGAAGATCTTATGAATGAATAGGAAGAATTCCAAACATGTCATTAATCTTCTGTTGTAGGAAAATCAAAATTTTGTTTCTTGAATTTGAGGTTTTTTTCATGTGGGAGAAAAAAAATTATTCACTCCATTTCATAATATAGTGCCTATTCCATTTTACATAAACCTACATATTGAGACGTATTTAACAATACACTTCTACTTTTTTTTTCTTTTTTTTGGCATTGAAAAACTGTGGAATGAAAAACTGTGGTCAAAATTTGATTGAATGGAAATAGACATTACTCATAGATTATGAAACGGAGGGAGTAAGAAATAAGCATAATGTTATGAATGTGAGGCACGTTTTTTCTAATATCTAACCTCTTTTTATTTGTGAAAAGCAAACTAAAGTCAAGATCATTAAGTGGATAATGGATTATCAAGGTCAACTGAATTTAACTTTGGAAGCTGTTTTTGTGTGGGTGGAAAGTGGATAGGGAAAGTACATTGAATATCTTTCTCTTTTCAAAAATCACAAAATTTGAAGATTTTTGGCCCAATTTCAATTGGACTGTACTGAATCGGAACTTGGGACCAAATAAATAGTGACTTGTTGGGATAAGATTGTAAGTTTGTAACGCACATACGCAATAGTAATCCTTTTTATTTTTTAATTTGTTTTGGCAACGTAATATTAATCCTTATAGATTCATAACATGCTCGATAGAGCATGATGTGCATCATCCTTACATTTGTGTGACAATGTCGTACGACATTATGATGCGACTCTATTTGTTTTTTTGGTTCCTTCAGACCTTAATGGTACCATAGAAATTGGCTTAGGGTACCTAGGGGCTATCCCTAAATTTATTGATTACTAATATAACAATGCGAATTTATGCGAAACAGATAATATATTTATGATAGGAGAAAATCAAATATACAACATTTGCGATTATAAACTAGCGTTTGATAGCTTCAATACATTAGCTACTCTTATTAAAACTAAGGTTTGACTATTAATTCAAGGTGAAACTACATAAAACACTAAGGGTGTGTTTTGTCCAATGTAACATATTTTCATGAAAAATGATTTATTTAGTTTCCTTCATTTTCCTTTGATTAGTTGTGAAGGGTGAAAAACCAGTTTTACAATAATGGATAATTACTCTCTCAATGGTCGAAATTTACTCTTTTTTTTTTTTTCAAAATAAAGAAAGCCACAATTTTCTCCCTCCTCTATTTATTTATTATTATTATTTTTTTAAAGACAACCGTGGGAAATTAATTTATTAAATCAAAGGTCCGCCAAAGTTTGAAAACTTTGGGGGAAAAGATCCATACTAACAAGTTTGTTACTAGAACCCATATCCCTTCTAACCGCTAAATGCGCAATAGTATTTCCTCCCTCCTTATCTCCTTTTTTTTCTTTCCTCTTATCCATTTTCACCTTTTCACTCCTACTTTTGATTTTTCTACTATTCAACTATGGTCCTTTAAATTATGTTAAATGGCGTTCCTAAAGATGTTTAGGTGTCATGTGGCACTTTTCTCAATCAATCGAGTCTTTCATTCACGTGCTTAAAAATATAGGTTGTACAATATTTGAACCCACGACTTAAAGTTTTAAATTAAAAGTATAGTACTATTATATGTCATTCGGTTAGATTAAATATATATAAGGATTTCAATCATTGAACTAATGCATTATCTCGGGACATCACCCACGCCGAAAAACTATTTTTACTTTAAACCAAACAAACCTCGGAGAGCCCCTAAAGAAATTATTTGTACTCCATATTGATTTGAAGTTTTATTGATGCCTTCCTTAGAGAATCCTGACATTATCCTTCGTCAAGAGTAAGTGTTTTAGGAAGTTGTCATGCGGTCATCATTGATATGATTGGGCTTATTTATTTGGCGCGTTTTGAATTTGTTTACTTCAAATTTTGGGTCAAATGACGAAGTGAGTCTCTGGACTAGAACCAGGCCCAGGCCCGGCCCAAATGGTGTTGTTCATAGAGTTATAAATTTGTACTTGTACATCCATAGCTTTTTTTTTTTTTTTTTTTTTTTTTTTTTTTTTTTTTTTTTTGTGGTGTGTGTGTTCCTTTGATCTCTATATCATGAAGTTACACATATTATTATATGTGGTCAGTTCTATGATATTTCCGCTTTACATAAAAGATGAATAATTGAGTAATCGGAGTACTCTACCCCCTTCATCTCTGTCTCTCTCGTTCTCTCCGCCCCCCTTCATCTCTCTCTCTCTCTCTCTCCATCCCCTTCATCTCATTCACACGACCATCGCCCACCACGCGAGAGAATAATTGTTAAAGTGGCTATTCTCGGCTACCACTTTAATTTGTTGGGAGATTTCATGGTGTTTGCCTTTGTTAAAGTATCTGATGAAGTATTGTAACTTTGCAAGCTTTCTTCAATTTTTTTTTTGGATTTTAGCCTACTGTACTTGTGATAGTCAATAATTGTGGATTTGTGGTCTAAAAAGGAAAATGATACGGAGTACAATGTTAAATTTTTTTTTAAAAATATTTTATTTTTTTTTTTTTTTTGTAAATTATTTTGTTTTAATTGATTGTAATTTTGTATAATGACTTTTTATAAAGTTAAGCAATAAAACTCACATGAAAGTGATTAAACTATGAAAGATGGTAAGTTTATGTAGAAACAAAAGAGTTGGTGGATTAATAATCCAGGAATCCTATGACCCGATTCGAGAAAATCGGGGCATGGGCCGATTTACAAACTACCCGAAGATTCGGGTACCCGGATCTAAACACCCCTACTTGAGTGTATGGACATGAATTAGACTGGAAATGTAATACCCCATATTTTTAATGTATTTTATACATTATTTATTTATTTATAAATTGTATTTTTGGGGCAAATTATTTTAATTATGAAATTTAAATAAAATGTGTTTTATATTTGATCAATACTTAACTCCACCAAATTATAGCTTGTGTTCATATTAAGCCTAATCATCCTTTTATTTAATTTGGGCCAAATATTTCTGCATCATATTATTTCTTATAAGCCCAAATATCTCTATTTACCATACTCTATAAATATCTCTTCAATCTCCAAAATTTTGCCAACCAAAAAGTTAAATTGTCAAAGTAAGTATTTTTCTTTCTCTTTCTTTTTCCTTTTTCCTTTTTCCTTTTTCTTTCTCTTTCTTTTCCTCTTGTTTTCCCCTTCCCGTGAAATTCATGGGTGGGTTCCATGAACCCACTGCCAAGTCACCCCTCCAACCGGATGACCTCAAACCGCCGGCCACCTGCTGCGCTGCCCCTGCCGGTCGGATGTCCACCGCCCATCACCGTGGCTAACCCTCTTCTCTCTCCTCTTTTTATTTTAATTATTTTGATGATTTTAATTATGAGTTTTGATTTTAATTGTTCAAAATATGTTTAATTGGTATCAAAATCATGTTTTAATGATTAAAAAGTGTGATTTCATATTATTTAGTTTGGTTTTAATTTTCAGATTTTATAATTCATTAAGTTAGGGTTTTAATTTATAAAGACTTGATTTTTAGGGCTCTAATATCAAATAAATTTGGGGCTTTTGTGTTCTAGGTGTTTCTAATTGATAATTGAGTATATAAGTGATGTTTTGATTAAGTTTTAGGGGGTGTTTGGTATGGAGTTAGTATAGGAAACAGAATGGAAATAAATTAGGAGGGGAAAGGGTAACAAATAGTGTTACCCTTACTAGTTGTTTGGTACATCAAAGGAAATGGAAACAATTATCACCATTCCGTTTCCTCTTGTTTGGTATAACAAACGGAAATGAAAAATAAGAATGAATAATACAATGTTGTCTATGCTCATATTTTACGGGTAAAAAAAAAAATAAAAAAATAACCTAGATAAAAAATATTGTCTATGCTACATATTTTACAGTAAAAAAAAAAAACAAAACAATATATATATAAAGCAAAGTTGGCACTCATTAATTTTCCAAACATTGACTAATAATATGTCCATCATCATATGAATAATCCCAACACATAACTTGTATTGCTCAAGTTGCAAATGTTCAACAAAAAAACAAAGACATGGCAGCAACCAAATGCTACTTCTTCTTAAGAAGATCAATTGCATATTGTTTTTTTCATGTTAAATGGTGCTTGATAGAAGATATGAAGCTTATATTCTTCCGCCATGAGAATAGTAGCAACCTCTAAAGCTTCGGATGGAGAAATGCCATCTAACTTCATCACCTCGTCCAATACCTTGTTCACCTTTTCATCCATCCTTTGCTCCCTTTCTTCCGCTTTAGACCATGCACTAGCCATAGTCCCGAGATTAACATTGATATTTTCAAATATCTTCCCAAAATTGTTGGAAACATCATGGAGGGAGGCCACCAAATCATCATCATCATTCCTACACAAACTCTTCAAATTTACCTTGTTCTTTCCTTTCACCTTAGCCTCCTTCGCCTTTATAGAGCGTTTTCCAAATTGAGTAGTAGAATCACTTGCAGAAGAATGAATTGTAGAAGCCTTCACTTTTGCCATTTTTGAAGGAGTTATATGATCATCCTCTATCTTCACGGGGCGTTTTCCGGATTAACTTGTAGAAGAATAAGTGTCCGAATTAGTAGAATTCACATCATCTTCTTCATCACTCTCGACAATGAATGGTTGCTTATCAATCTCTTGATCAATACCTTCTATGGCATCAGCGAATGACTCACTTACATCTCCGGTAGCTTTGTCTTTTGCGTATATTTCTGCTAGAGTTTTATAATGGATGAATGGAACTCCAAACAACCCCTTAGCTTTCTTATGAGTTTGCCATATAAGAGAATGTACATGAAATTCAGAACTGAACTAGGCAACTGATAAACTTGCAAAAACAGCTAATAATTAGGCAACATACTAATAATATGTACAATATATTAGTGCATGCAAAATAGTCAAATTATAGTTAATAATCTATACAATATATTATGGTTAATAATTAAATTATAGTTAATAATCTGTACAGTACTTTTTAGGGTCTTTCTGAACTAGTCCTCTATCCAAATTGATGTACAATATTACTACTTACATTGAAGAGCGTATACTCTTAAAATGCTCTAGGCTGAGCAATATCTACCAACACCAGACAAACTATAGTGGAGTAAACAAAAATAGGGGATGTTTTAGTCAGTCATGTCAAAGGGGCAATCTGTCTCAACATCGGCTAACTAGTTTAAACCAGAAGTCATCATAGAATGTAAGAGAACCAAGCGTCTGATTAATTCCAATAGTAAACATGCCTTCAAGATCTTGGTCATATGATACAGGGGAGAAACCAGGGGTGTCTAGTATGGGCTGTCTGATAGTACATGTATATAGTAATGTAGGATGTTAAAGAAAATATTAGCTTAGTGTGTGACAGAGATCAAGTACTGTGTAAATGTTACTAAGCATGTAGAAATTTATACTTTAGTCACTGATTACTTGGCTTCCTAATCAAAAGTTTCTGGCTTTGTCACTAATTATTTATGTAGTCAAGGCATCTCACTATAACTAGTCAATAATTAGGGCAATATGGTCACGATCTCAAGAAGACATCAGCAACTAGGGTGTTTAATTAGTTAGATAACCTAAATTCCAATTTGTCTGGCTCAATTGAGCTTCTATGACCAATAATCCAATGTATACAAATGTGAGCACAGCTCTGTGCAGTTCAATGAGATGAACAAATGCAAGTCT